GTCGGGCTACTTGACGTTGAGAAATGCTTTGATGAGAAGCAAAATGGCTGTGGTTGAATCGGAAAAGCCGCTTCCACCATGTCAATATTCTCCCGCGCCGCACGCGCGAATAATTGGAATATTACTTGTGCAAAGCTTTTGGGAATGAAAGAGACTTGTTGCGAAGCCCTTGGAGTTGTCCTAATTTGAGGGCTTTCAAATGATCGAGAACTGAATAAATCGGAATTAGCGGGATTGTGCGGGCTTGCGGAGGGGTTTTTATCTTCTCCAGACGATGCTTTGAATGGCCTCCTCGGAACTTCATAATCCAGCAGCCTGTCTGAATCCAGCATTAACGAAGGATTCACGCCTTGGACAGTGACAAGTTAACTCATGATTTCCACCAACTTTATTTTCCTTCCTGCTCTCAACTTGCGAGCATTCGTATTTCTTTTCTTCTCGCCCCGCCTGAAACCGACGTGCTTTCAAAGTTTAATCCTCCGCCCACACGGTTTTATTTCGCTCGGCTCCAGAATAAGCAGGCTTGATTGAAATCGCAGACGAGTTCCACGTTGTCAAGGAAAAAATTTCCGACATCTGGGAGTTTCTCTGGGCATTGAAAACAACAAGAAAGGTTTTACTGTAAATCTCTGGGATTTTTCTGAGTTCCCTGTGCTGAATTTCAGCGAGGGTCTAATGATTTGTAAAAAAAAAAATGTTTATGACGCTTGGCTCATGAGCGTTTGTCAGTCATCATGTGTCTCCTTTTTGTTCTTGCATGATTCGATGTTGTGTGGAATTTTATAGAATAATATTCGATGATTTCCTGCCAGGTGAAAATGGAGAGAACCATTTGAGATAGTCTCTTTATAGGTTAGCAGTGGTTTCAATGATTCGGTCGCAAAATGTACAGTGCTTGATTACTGAGCTCAAGTAATTTCCAAATATTTGAACCACCTCACCTATATTTCGTATCCTTGTACAGTATATGTGTGTTTTAACTTTTCTTGGGGACTCTTTAACACGAGTCATTGAAGATTTTTTGAGTGGGAGACTGACTCTTCTTCTGTGAATGTTCAGATTGTCATGCATGAGGTTAGTTGCCAGATTCGAGAAAATTCTTGGCGGATCCCTGGAGCACTAATTCCCCCAAGTCTGAAAGTAATGAAAGCCCTACGTGGAGAGAGATTCATTAAAGTTTCAAGCAGCGTCACAGGAAGTTCTGATGGGGAAGAGGCTTAAAAGCCTGGCAGTTTTCTTTCCGTCCTACGGGGACTCGGGTTTGAATAATCAAGTGTTCTTACCTGGAATTCCGTGCATGTTTCCGCCGCACAGAAGTGCTTGAGCATCAGCAGCAGCAGCAGCAAGACCGACTTATTTTTTTTTCGCTCTATCCTTTGTACACGGGCTGGAGTCGTTCAATTGAAATTCCATTTCCGGACGGAATGTAATGGAGAATAATTGCATTAGAATCGAGCGAAAATCCCCGCTGCTCGTTGCTTGCCACGGGACTCGGGGTTAAAATAAATCCTTTCGTTCTTGCGGCCGTGTTTGGGATGGGCTCGGCGAAACTTCTGCACACCCCCTCTTTTCTTTTTTCCCCAGATGAACGATTACGCATTGAGCTTTATCCTTTGGTTTAGCTGCGGGGGTAAGAAAAATAGATGATGAATGCGACACATGAACCGTCTTCCACTCTCGTGATGAAAGGGAAATCACCGTGAAGCATGATGAGTAGGGAGTGATTCTCCATCTGGAAACGCCTTCTCACAGCTGCAACATACGGAAAGCCCCCTCCCCATTTTTTGTTTTCCTGTTTAGTCATGAACCATCAGAACTCGTTTGATTAATCATGGTCTTGTTTTTGTTTTATTTCGTGCAGAAGAAGATCTACTTTTTGTTGTTTTTCAATATTCAGGGCTGAAGAACAAAAGAATTTCGGAAACTGTTTTTTCTAGGAACTGAAACTTGAGATGCAGTCAAACCTTGTTTGGCTGTTTAAGCCGCCACAATTTCTTTGTAAGGTTTGTGGCGGCTTAATGGGTTGTTGGTTTAACGTGGGGTTGGACGTTTACCAAAAAAAAAAGCTAAAAGGATGTGAGAATCGAGTATAATAGGATTCTTCACGAAAAAAAACATAACCCTGGGATGCATAAATTATTTCTAGCTAGTTTTCCCAAGAAGTGAGTGATGTCATCTTTCTGGTTCGTGTTTTTTTTTCGAGACCTCTCTCCGAAACTTGAATCTTCTTGTTGGCGGGCTATCGAAGGCAAAATGAATAGGAAGGAGCACATTTGAATTGAAATTTTGGTCGATGGTGTTTCAACGGGATTTAGAATGTTATTAATAATAGGGAAGATCCGTTTTTCAAAATGAATCGGCGGTTTATCGAGGGGCATCTTAACGGGGTTTGACTGTTCTCTTTTTTTGTGTGCAATATTTGCACTTCTGTACCCCGATCTTACAATGCACAGTTGAACCTCGTCGATAACTCGAACCTCCCAAAGTCAATACTTCCAGAAGTCAATTTTCTTCAAGTCCCTGTCTGAAATCCCTTGGAAACAGTGCATTAAGAACGTATTTAACTCGAAGGCTTTTCCTCTCAAATCTCCGTAACTCGAATTTTTTTAGGCTTTTTTGTTTTAACTTACTTGATGTGTTTTGAAAGGAAGTGGTAGGGCAAATGAACGCCTGTCTCCAAGTTCAGCTTCCTGTCAACTGATTTAAGGAGCGATTCAACGCCCAGAATATTGCCGGTTACAATTTCTTTCAATTCTTCCGTGTTTCCCACAACGAGAAAGGCTTGTTTTTCCTAGCTGGAAATCCCTGGTCCCTTCGAGAAAAGAAAAAATCAGTTTTCGGCAGTACATGACCCCTGGGTTCATCGCACACCTCATCCCAGGAATCGGGGTGATGAGGAGGATCAGTGGCGACGAGGGATGCGCTCATCGCGTATCCAATTTTCCGCGTGGGCGACGTGAAAGCTCGCTGGAAAAGGGCGCCGCGGACTAATGGAATTATTGCTTTGCTGATCAGTACTGCTCATTCATAAGCTGCGGACTCGTTACCCGCCGGCGGGTGATGGATTGATTACCAGAATGCGTGACCGCGATATAAAGCAGGCTATCTGCGAACTTGCTTCGTGGGAATGGATGCCTCTCGTGTCGAGTTGTGTCTCAACTGTGTGTCGCGTGTAGTTGCAAGTTACTCCCACTTTTGACCGATTCTGACCATTCGCCCGAAATGGGTTCACGACGACTGTGTTTGTGTGGGTGTGGGTGTGTTTTCCGCGAGAAGAATTGGACAGAGTACTGTATCACCACCGACTCGTCTATGGCGAACGGACGGAATATTCTGTATCGGCAAAAAGTCGGGGTTATTGTCGCTTGAAATTTGCGCATTCCAATGGTGGACTCGCGCAACAACGATCTTGCCTTGAACGACTTCCTCAGCATTATGAGTACTTTTTTGGTCCCGTAGGGTTCTCTCCCCATGCTGTATAGGGGTCCTCTATAGCGACTATTTTTGAAGCCCAGAGAGTCCACCAGGTATTAATTTTTTTTTCAATGTAAGATGTTAAAGTCAAATCTCTTCAAGTCGAACTTCAAGGGACCAGCAACATTTTTGTTGGGGAAACAAAAAATGCAAGGAAATGTAAACTGAGCCTTAGATTGCCTCTTGAATGAGTTGATAACATGCTTTCCTTGGAGGCAAGGGTTTATTTGTCCAATTAATGCTTCATTTCCCTCAAAATCACATCAAGTTACATTTTTTGCTTTTCTTCTTCGTGTGGCAATAAAATGATAGCTAAAAGGCTTCCAAAAAATTTGATTCATTGAGGTTTAAGGAGGGATTTCTTCGAGTTGGAGAGGCTTTTAATGCATTGTTTCTGGGTGAAATTAGCAGACTGCAACTTGAAAAAAAATTGACTTTGGGAGGTATTTGATTTGGGAAGGTTCGAGTTGCGTAGGTACAACTTTATATCATGCCGCACTTCGTATGGGTTAAATTGTACTAGCACCCGAAGCCCATCCGATATTTTTTTGGCCGTCTTTATTATCTGGAGTCATCTTTAGCAATGAAGCGATTGCCGGTTAATGATGAGAATATTCGCAGCTGCAGCAGTGGCCATAATCAAGGGTTGTCGTATACTTGTAGCAAGGATTTGTGGGAGCCGCCTGTTCATCGATTCTGTTGAATTGTTGTAAACTGCTTAGTTACGCCTGACAAGTCTCAAGTCAATTGCTATTTCGTTCCTGGCCATGTCCCGTTGAGCGGAAACGGTCTTTTGAAGTATGGTGAGCGCAATGGCCGTCATTTGTGAAGCATTCAAAAATGATTGAATTCCTTGGTAATACAGTACTGTATACATGGTGGACCAAGGAAAAGGAAAATCTTCTGGCGGAAGTCGTATTTTCAGAATTATTTGAGCCGAAGAGATGAACGAAAACAGGTTTAGCCGTGTTCATTCAATTCTATTTGTAATTATATCCGGTTGGATGGATTCGAAATCATTTATGATGACTAGCAATCACATTTGAGTCATTGGAAGTTTCAATTGTAATAGGTTTTGTTTGTACAAACGTCGTTTTAGTTACAGGTGGCACTCTATTCTATGTGAGCTATCGAGCATGTATAAGTGACGGTTCAAAATCTTGAAAAAACAATCGCCGTGTTTTTATGTTCTAGCTAAAGCACAAATACTGTACTGTGCATATTCTGAAGGCTGTAAACTTCAGCGTTCCTTTCGCAGTTTTTGTCGTCTTCTGTGCGTAAAAAAAAGGAGCATTTTTTTTTTTATATTTAGGGTGGTTATTTTGTACACGCGGTACTCAGTGCAGATTTCTAGAAAAAGTTTGGGAAGGCCTGCTACGAAATAACTGCGGGTTCCCGCGATGGAGGACCACTAATGAATTTTGAGCATGCATGCATGCATGCATGAATTTTTTCTTTCTTCTCGTTGATGAAAAAAATGCTCATCTTTCCATTGTTTCTTTTTCTTGAATTTTTGACGAGTCCAGATCAGAAGACGTTGACGTACGAGGAAGTGTACAACCAGGCCAGTCCTTCGAACTGCACCGTGTATTGCGGCGGAGTCACCAACGGCCTGTCTGAAGACCTGATGAACAAGACCTTCTCCCCGTTCGGCACCATTTCCGAGGTCCGCGTGTTTAAGGACAAGGGCTACGCTTTCATCAGGTGAGTTGCTTCCTAATGCTTCCGCTGCTCAGTGGTCCCGAAACGTCCCTTGATGGTGATGGTCTTGTTGATGAGAGGGGTTCCTCTCCTCTCCACCAAACCAGGATGCCAAGACGGATGCTACATCCGCTGGCAGAGAGGGGGGGTTACTCAGCGTGTAGATAGATATACTGTGCTGTGGTATAATCCCTGCGATACATTTGCGGAGATCCAATCTCCCCTTTTTTTCAAGTCACAGAAAAATAAATGAATTCGTCTGAAGAGAATGGCGGAAAAATGAGCCGCGTTGTAGAATAATTGTTATTTGCACGCATGAACCAAGTACAGTACAGTACTGTACTGCCCTTCGAACCGAATCCCGTCATGAAAGATAATCCATTGCTGTATAGATTGTATAAGGCGGAGGAAGTCTTTCTTCATCGGTGCTCCACTAAACCATAGGCTCTTCTCAAGGGTTCCACAACTGCTGCTTTGGAAATAAATGAGAACTAATTAAAATGCTAGTAATCACGCGCCGAAGAGCAGAAAGTGATTTTATACCCCCGTAGCGGAATGAGATCACCGAAAAGAAGGTTTCAGTGTTTACGCGTTTTAGACTGGAATTATAGAAAAATACATCACTGTAGTTCAATGCTTTTAAAGAATTCACATTTATTGGGAAGGTGAGAGCAAAAGGCGATTTTGTGAGATATTTCACGCAAATAAAATTGCAGAACTCCTTTATGTTAATCGAAAGAGGACCAAGTATACGTTATCAAATGGGACGAGCACTTGGGACTTCTAAAACCTTTTGGACGCGTCTTGAACAAGCAATCTACGAAACGTCTATAGGGAACCCTGTTAGCAGGCTTCCCAACCTCAGCTTGGTTGGTATAAATGTAAAAAAAAAAAAAAAAATCAAGCGATCGCTGAAACTCCATTAGTTTTAACTGTAGGTTCCTCGAGTCACGAAGTTTGGCATCTTTTTCTTTATGCGAATTTGTCGGTTTCTTCAAAATAAATATTTTCAAGTTATTTTTTAAATAAATTTTGGCTCTTTTATGGAGATGGAGAGCTCCATAACAGTTGAAAGAAAGTGGGGAGTTTTTCCACGATTCGCCGTTCTTGGAAATCCAGAAATTATCAAGATATAGCCTCTGTGTGTGTTGGTGGTGGTGGTGGTGGCGGCGGCGGCGGTGAGCAATTAATTTCCGAGAGGACGTAGGGGGCTTGCAGTGACGGGGTGATAAATGCGAGGAGGTCTGTTCATTACTCCTGGCGTGCGTGATTGATTATTCGGACGAGCGTTTCATCAATAAATACAATTAGCTTTCTCCTGGTTCATATGCAATAGTTTACCCTGCTCGTGAACCCTGAAGATTTTGGAAAACCTGCGCAGAACTTGTTCGTTAGATGCTTTGCAGATATCCCTTGGGACAATCGTCGCTTCCCAACCTCAACTTGGTTGGTGTAAATGTAAATAAATTCGAGCGATCGCTGAAACTCTTACATTAGTTTTAAGTGTAGCTTCCTCGAGTCACAAAGTTTAGCATCTTTTTCTGTGTACGAATTTGTCGGTTTCTTCAAAATAAATATTTTCAAGTTATTTTTTTTTATAAATTTTAGCTCTTTTATGGAGATGGAGAGCTCCATAACAGTTGAAAGAAAGTGGCGAGTTTTTCCACGATTCGCCGTTCTTGGAAATCCAGAAATTATCAAGATATAGCCTCTGTGTGTGTTGGTGGTGGTCCGCCGCCACTCGTTAATTAAAGGCTCTCCTGCATCCCCCGAACGTCACTGCCCCACTATTTACGCTCCTCCAGACAAGTAATGAGGACCGCACGCACTAACTAATAAGCCTGCTCGCAAAGTAGTTATTGGTAGTCCGGGAATTTTCCAGTCCGTCTTCCGGTTCGAATCGCGCCATCCGGAAATATAGGTTCCGATGATGAGTTTGCCCCTCTCACCCCCGCGTGGAATAAGTGGTATACGGGGGTTCCAGATCGTGTGACCCCCTCGGCGATTTCGAATTATGCGATTTGAGTGAGGATCCGAGTGATGAATTTTCAGACCGGGATGAACTCTGGATTGCAAAGGTGGTGTTCGAAATAAGTGGGTAGGTGTGTGTCCTTGGTGGAAAGGGGGTCTTCGATGTCCGCGCAGAGCGGATCGTTTTCAAGGTCCGTCTCACGTGTTGGGAGTACCAACCTCTTGTTTTCATTAGATTTCTCAGGCTTTTGTGAGGAAATGCATTAATTATGCCGAGTTAGGTACAACGAGGCTTATAGCTTTGATTATCGTGTAGATTAAATGAAGACGTTCAAGTCTACGTTGGTTATTTTATTCTTGCTCCGGCGGAATGCGATCTTTTCAATCTCAAGCTGCCAATTACTGTTGGCGTACTTCTGTGTGTATTTATCTTTGGAGATAACGTGATGGTATTGTTTTTATGCATAGTTTTGAGGTTTCGCCCTCTCGTGAAAGTATTTTATTTTGTACTCGTGGATAATGTCAGTCAAACTACAGTACTTTACACGATTTTCAGTTCTCAAGTTCTGTCGTATTACTGTGCGAAGATATTTCGGGACTGATCCTTCGATGAAAACCTTAGTTTGTAACTTTATATAAACTTTTGTTGTTTCTTGTGTCATGGATTTAAAAAAAACTAAAAATGCGCTCTCCGTGTGGCATCAAATTCTGGAATTTCAAACATTGGAAGAAAAATAAACCTTTGTCTCAAATTTTGAACCTGATGGCTTATTTTCCACATGTCTTTGACTTGACTGTTTACTATCCCCGGTTTTCTTCGAGATTCGTGGAATTGTTGTTTTACTTGATGACCTCTGAAAAAAATTTTGTATGGAATTCGAAAGAATTTCTCTGATATTTTAAATTTTGAAAACTGAAATTTTAAATTTGTCGAATGGAGGTCTCAGCCTTGGAAATTCGGTGTTTAATTTTAAGCCTCGTTTGATGATTTTTCTGCAGCGTTATTAGAACTGGTCTTCTTTTAAAATTGGACCATGCTTACATATCTTCCGGGTATTGACTTTGGTTTGAAGTTGAATGAGAGATGTATTGTATATCGCAAAAATTGGTACTTGAAAAATGCTCACAATTTTCAAATTTCGTTCAGATTTTCCCTGGACAGTTATCCTCCTCCTCGTCACCGCAAGTGACAATACCACCAGTTCTTGTGCAAATGTTCCTCTCCTTGAAGAGATTACCTCTTTACTAGCAAAATCTCGCGTAATTTTTGACAGGTACCGATTTGGTATTCTAGTCGCTAGATGCGGTAAAACCTTGTTTTAGATTAAAAGAGTTGAAGCTAATGCCGTATTGTTTTATCTTTTTTTTTTTCACCCCAAGGTTCACGTCGAAGGAATCAGCGGCTCAAGCCATAGTGTCAGTGCACAACACCGACGTTAACGGACAACCAGTCAAGTGCTCGTGGGGCAAAGAATCGAACGATGCATCATCCGTTGCAGCCGCTGCGAACCAGGTGAGACTGCAAACTACGGTAATAATGAACTTTCAAATTATATTTGCATAATTTTCCGCGCGTGAAAATTCATTTGCTTCATTCCGGCTTAACTTAACGATTAGAGTTCTGTCAATCATTGTCAATTTTGCCTTCGTGGGAAATGCCCGTGTTTGTGAAGTTGCAATCCGTTGTTGTTGTCGAAGGGCTGTGCAGGGCGTCAATAGCGACGCAATTAATGGGTGGGATGCAGATCGTGGGTTTGAAGACGGTACTGAGTGCAAAGTTTCCCCGTTACACGGCTCATTTAGTTGCGGTTTTGGCGGCGAAACTTTAGCATCGAATCCTCGACTAGGGAAAACGGCGTATTGTTCCATTCCTTATGCTATCGAGAAAGTAAATTTCTAATGACTTCCTTCCTGCATCTGGGCCTTCTTAATGGAAACTGATGTTGGGATATTGGAACTACCGTACATGTACAGTATTGCTAGAAGTATGAAGCGCTAATCACAAAATGTATTCAGCTTCATTTTAAAATTTAGAAATGATTACTTTTTGAAAAAAAAAATTAAGGTGAGAAGGATGCTGCTCTATTTCAGGGAACATGCAGTTCTTCTTGAATAAATGTTCTTCTCGCGTATGTTTTTTTTCTGTATGCTCAATATAATACTTTAGTAAGATCAGCATATTTTAAGAAAATAAGAAATCGTGAATGAGAAAAATAAGATACTGTAATTGTATTTCACATTTTGAAGTTTCTATATTGTTTCAAGAAATGAGAAGTTTTAAATGCAGAATATTCTTCTTAAATCTGTTGTGAAAGTACAGAACTTTACTTCAAACCTTCCATCACAGGTTTCCCACGCAATTTCAGTCGTACATGCTCAAAGAACCGCGAATCTCGTTATAACGAATTTTTTTCCGGTCCCTGGGAGTTCGTTACGACGAGATTTTACTGTATTACGTACGGTCTCGATGTGCCGAATAATTGCAATTTGCTCCTCTGCACTTCATTTTTAAATTGATATTAACAAAAAGGGACAGTTTTGTAGGTCTTGACAATTATCTCACTCATCATATGAAGGAAGTATTCTTTTTTTCTTACCAAAGGATCCTTTCCCATATTATATAGGTTCTCTGCAAAGATTTGTTGGTTCCATGAATTTCCTTGTAGAGAGTCCGCCTTTATTTGAAAAAAAAATGGAGCCGTTTTCTTTTACCATCCAAATACAGTACTGTATTTAGCTCTTCTGTACTCTCGTTGGGAAACTACTCGAGCACTACCCGTCGTATGTAGAAAAGAGGTCAGGGATCCGTAGTTATTATCGTTATCACTATTATTGTTGTGAGCAAATGAGAATGGAGACAAAAGTTTGTGCGGAATGTGTGGCGAGACGGCGAAAAGGAGAAAATGGTCGAGCGAGCAATAAGTTTGTGCGTGTTCCTTCTTTTTTGCAGGCGCTGGCCGGGGCCCAGTTCTCGTACCCGTACGGAGCACAACAGCTGAGCTACTGGTACCCGCAGGCAGCGTACCCGCAGATCGCCGCCGGCAGCCAGTTCCTGCAAGGCGTGCAGCCGGGCTATCCCTACGGACAGTTTGGTTACCAGCAGAGGTGAGGAAACACACTCGACCCCCCCGCGCCACGAATTTATCCGAACCCGCGCGGCCTTTTAATTTCCGGCCTCCGAGAAACAACCTCTTCCGCTCTCCGTGGCGAGGAAATAAGGAAGTCCTCGTTTCGTCTGCGCTGCAATCAGCCTTCCTCCCCCGCGTCCCCCCCGGTCTCACCTTTTCGTTATTATTATTATTATTCATTATTCTCGCGTTTGTGTTCTCTCTCTTTCTCCACTTCCGTTCCGTTCCGCCGCCGCCTCTTCGCGAGGGCTCTGCGATAAGTTTTATTCTCCTGTGGACTCTGAAAAATAAAAACCCTCACTTGTAGAAAAAAAGAAAACGAAAGGAAACTTTTTTGTTGTTGCCCGATTCTTACGCTGTGTGTAGCCTGGCTCTTTCTGCTGCTCGTAGGACTCGTTTTTCTCAAACATCCGTGTGTCGGTGCTAATCTAATCTCGAGGCTCCTCCGTAACTGCGATTGTTGCCCTAGTAATGTGCTTTTCTTCGCGAATTAACGAGACAGGCCAAAATGAAAGAAATGTGGGGCGGATTAATCTTCAAGCTTTACATTATGTTTTAAACTGCGTAGTTCGTGGCTTTTGATTACTTGGAAACGGCCAATCGTGCAAATATAGTATCTGCTAATTCTTAAAATTTAGAGTAGTACAGTACAGTAGTTCAGACTGGTCCATGACTTTTTTCACATTTTTTTATTTTTCCTTTTTGGCTGGCGAAGAGAAAGAAAAAGTTTGGTGGCTTTAAAATTTAGCTATCCTGTTGCAGTTTTACGCGTCATTAACTTGAAACAATTTTTCAAGTCCACGATCGGAAAGAACTTTCCTGCAAATTTTCATTTTCCACTCGTGATGGAACAACTCTATTATGAACCCCTTAAACTCTTGTGAGAAACCATTTGTCAACTCTTTCTTCGACTTTATGTCATTCCATGTAAGATTAAAGGAGCTTCAACTTCAAGTCGCATTCATTAATATCGCGTAAATAAACCATCTTGACATTTTTGAACTGAATTGATTTCCTCTTTTTTTTTCTGATATACCTTGTAAATTTACTCGTTATTTTGTGCAACGGCATGTGAATGGACAAACTCTTATTTATTTCAATCAATCGCCTACTCAAGAATAATCAACGCGTTGCCAAGATGATTACAGCGATTCACTGTTCGTTTGCTCGTACAGTACATGTATTAAGAAGGGGGTCACGGACTTGGTTGAATACATGTTGAGTGGTTTATTGTTTTAAGAAATTTGACGTTTTGTTCTGGACCTGCTGGTACCAATAAGCTGATTTTCCATGGTATAAGTCGGGAATATTTCCCTTTTTTTCTTTACAATTTGATGTGTAGTCTGGTATGAACTATGATTTGTTGCTAAGGGTGATGGCTTTGACTCGCTATTTTTTTAGAGTGTTGATGAGCGTTTGAATTTTTCAGGATCGGTGCGACTCGCATTGTGGTCAAGTTATTTTCTATTTTTTTAGACAAAAAATATGTTAACTTATGCAAACTTCTGAGAAATTGGTAAACGCCTTTTCCGTCCTTGTCTCTTTAGCGATAACAAGTTTATTAATTTGCCTGGAGGCACAGGGTTGAATAATTTTGATTTGCACATTTTTTATGCATTTTGACGACAGACATTCTGTCTTTAGCCGTCTGCCTCGAATGAGTCTGTCGTATTTTTGTTATGAAAAGCTGAACTATGAATTAGGCGTGCAGTTGGCGGAATAATGTCAAAGTTGATGAACAAAGTTGTGTTGTAGTCATTGCAAGTACTGCACTTGGATCCGAGCCAGAGAAGATGGACCCTCGTTGAATGCGAATATTTTCGTGCGTGTGACTCAATATCCGTTGATTATTATTTTTTTTTATTTTTTTAAGAAAAGAAGATCGGGTTCCGACTTGAGGGGAATTTAATTTGCGGGTCCCCTTTGCTGAAGACGAAAAAGTAAAAGATGCGCGTTGCGGGGGAAAAACTTGGAACGTTGTTCCGAAAAGGAAACCCGGGTGTTTACTGCTAATTAATCTCGCTTAATGGGATCCCGGAAAGTTTCTGGTGTAATACCCACGTTTGCTTCCGCACCCCTCCCCCCTGGGTTCCACGCATTACATCATTTTTCTGCATGTGCGGGAAGTTTGCGTTCGGAACGAGGGGCTATTTTTCTTTAGAAACCGTTCGTTTCCTTTGGTTCGAGTGACCCACAAATCCTTGTTCGTTCAAATTGAGGATCAAGAAAAGCATTCGCGATTTGTTAACGCCGTTTCTGTCCTGCCAACTTTTCCATTAATGAGTCAAGTATTCCGTTCCGCAAAAGCCGTGTTTTTCAGCGATGAAAAGGATTTATTCGCTGAAAACCTCCTCCTGCGTCAGTGATTATTTCTCCTCGGGACGTGCAGAGTTATTCCGCGCTAAAAGGAAAAGTTGCGGTTGGCTTCAACTCATCCCTTGGGGAATGAAGATTCAAAGTCGACGTTCCCGAAGGGCTTTTAGTGGAGGCTGACGTCGAAACTTGATCTTGTGTGCTTGACGTCATCTCGGAATGATTGTTGCTGAAACTTGAGAGAAGAAATTAAGCGTGAAGTTTTGCTAATTTCCCGTTGCCAGCGCTTTATTTCAAACGTAGAATCTGCGCTCGTCTGTTGACTGCGGAATGAAAAATATAGGGATTCGCGTGTTTGTTTTTTTTTTCAATGAACTGCTGAAATGACACACGCAAGTAAGCAATATCGGATGCTCAATTTTTTCTAAATTCATTTGCAATTAAAGAGGGAGAAGTTGACTGATTTTCAAATTTTCAAGCATTGAATACACCTGGCGATCATATTGAGAGTTAGTCGATGAAAATTCCGACGATGACTAATTTTATGGCTTCAGCGAAAGTTATTACTTCCAGAACGAAAAAAAAACGAGGTATCAAATTGACAACCACTCGAAAGTTAATCCAGAGATCGTTCGGTGCTTTTTCCTTCACGTGTTGGCCGCTCTTGATTTTAGTGGGGCCCCAAGATGCGGACGTAATCGGGTTTTTGTTACATTGTCCCTATGTCGGAACGCGTGTATTTCAGATCCCGTTTTCCTTAAACTTGAATAGGATCATACAGTATTTAATTGGTTCTCCCGTTTTTTGAATAGAGAAAATTCCCCCCAAAATAGAATTGTTTTTCTTAAATTCAAGATAATCCAGAAAATACCTGCAGAATAAAACCACGCAGAATCTGATGTTTTGGCATGCTAAGGAGCCCAAAAAGCGAAGAACAAGCGCTTGTCATGCTACGCTTCGCACAGTTAATCGAAAAAAAAAACTAAGAAAAAAGTGAGCACAAAATTAGCCTGTGTTGGATTGTGAATTTGAGTAAATTTATGATGAAATTATTTTTTTCAGATTGAATAGCTATATTTGTTGACAGATTTTGAAAAAAAATTGGAATTTTGAGAAATGCTTGAAAAATGTCCGTATCTCGAGATATCGTCTAGAATCTAGATGTTGAGCAATTTTTAATTCTGGTCTTGTTTTAGCTTCGAGCATCCCTAATTCGAATTTTCCGTATGTCGGTGTCTCATTTATTTATTTTTTTTCGGATTGGTCGTTTAGTTTATAATACGGCCTAAGGTTGCGTCGCATAAAGATGGTAAGTGTTGGTTACGATGTGATAGTGGACGAGACTCGCGGCCTGTTTCCTGCTTCTTGAAGACATTTTTGTCGTGCCATTAGCGTCCCGTCGAGGTACGTTATTTGTGCTTCCCCCCCCCCACAGCACAGTCGTGTACACACGCGCTCGTTTTTGAAGTCGTGGGGGTTAGGGGGGGGGGGGGGGGGAAAAAGAGGTGCGTCTCGTTTCATCTCGGCGGGTGCGTTTGAAGTCGGGACTTGCAAATGAAGGACGACCGGCGTGAGTTGCATGTTATGTTGGCGACCTGAATTTTTCCTCCTTTCCCTGTTCCTTCCAATTTTTTTCTTCTTTCTCCCTACCCCCTTTTTTTTTTTGCCCTATCTCGGGTCGCATTTCTCACTCTGGGAAGATGGGGACTAGGTTTTTAGTAACCTCGAAATTTCGCGTGGAGATGGGGGGAAAAGAAGGAGATTCGTTAATGGTCTGGACGGCTTTGAAGTCCCCCCCTTTCGCCGGGGATTGGTCCGTTCGTGCTTCTTTCTCGTAATTCTGCGAGGAAGCTGCTGTCAAAATTCTGTTCAACCGCTTCAAAAGGCTAAATTTTTGGAATGCAGTATCGCAATTATTCATCCCAGGCAACATCATGTTATTATTTTGCATTCCCAAACATGAAGAAAGTGAGTAATGAATCAGTATATGAAATTGTGAAAATATGAAGACAGAATTGACCGAACACTCAGAGCTGCAATACAGTATTTTCCTTTCGCTGCTAAGATTGACGCTAAATCTCAAAATGCCTCGAATTTCCGAGGCTTTTTAAACCTATAATATTCATACTGTCGCTGCCAAATGAAGGGTTGAAAGTTTGAATGCCTGATTTCTCCCGAAAAATGTTGATTTTGTCATTAAAAAAAAACTCGAATATTTATTCGAGAAAACGGAAAAAATGTAATGGCACTTGCGTCTTTTACAGGCAATATATATTTTTAATGCTGTCAAATCTGATTAATAGGACCACCTTGGGCCAAAGGCTGTTTGGTCCTGTTGAGCGACTGGTGCAATTAAGCAGACTCCATTTAAAATAAAGCATAATCGATTTCTTTACGAATTTAACAGCGTGAATTCCAGCAAAAAACAAAACCTTTAATGTAAATCAATAGGCATAGAATATGAATACAGTGCTGTCTGATATGCGGTATATTGACTTTTTTCCGGTGGAATTAATTTTCATAAGATTGTGGGCATGCAATTGTTGTAGATTTTAAATATTCTAATGTTTCCCTCTTGTCTGTACTAGGCGAAGAATCCCTCAATTTTATCTGGTCAAGTAATTATGTTTGAAGGTTTCAAACGTTTTTTTGTGATATTTTATTGAAGATTATGCATTTTTGTGAAGAAAAATCTTTTAAAATGCATTTATGCAATTAGCATGGACGCCAGGTGATGAAAAAGCTAATGTAACATGCAGAAATGCATTAGAATGTCAAGTGAGACACGAACTACCGATTAAATTGAACAAATGTGTTGCGTATTGTCTTAACCAATACATTTTTGAAAGCCAAATATTATCGCGATTCGTGAATGAATTTGCAGTCATTGCCTCCTTCAATATTTTCAACTGTTATTCGAAACTCTGGTTTGAAAAACCATCTCGCATTTTCTCTCCACTTCGTTCAAAATCCGCGCTGCCTTTTGGTTTCTAGTCCATGTGATCGCAACATTGTTGAATGTTTTGTCTAACTGGGCCGACTATTTTGTACTGAATGCTGAGAGTTTTCGAATTGTTCGAGAATTCTTTTCTGGCGCCCGAAATCGGTCTGACTGGCTGCGAGTTGGGCAGACTTGGTCTAATTTTCCTGATCCCGATTCCTTCTTTAAAACTGCATGCACTGCCCCTTACAAAGAAGGGAATGCAGGTGTTCCTGACCGAGTAGGCAAATCCGAGTTGACGAACCTGGGGTGTGTCCTTTTTCTTCCTTTTCCTCTCTCGTGCCGCTCGCTTCGTGGGTGCAGCATGGGACCGACGGTGGGTTCGGCGGCGGCGGCGGCTGCTGCGGCGGCCGCCCTCAACTCCTGGCCGGCCGGCCTGCAAACCACGGCCGCGCCGACGGTCGGAGCCATTGGGCCGTCGTTCCAGCAAGCTGGCATGCTCGGCGCCTATCCGCTCCAGCAATTCCAGGTCAGGTCAATTCCTGAACTTACTTCCTAAAAAAAAATTGATTTCTCTCTCTCCTTTTTTTCTTTCATTTGGAAAGACTTCTCTGCTTGTAAAAGAAAGACAGAAAAAGAGCGGGAATTTTTGTGATCATGATCGCAGAAGTACGAGAAAAGGACTACGGCTACTCGCTGATTTGTTTTGCACAAATTTTAGATAATATCACGTGATTTACGAGAAAAGGACTAAGGCTACGTTAATTTGTTTTTCACAAATTTCAGATAATATCACGTGATTTATTGAAGCGTGCAAATGGTAAGAGAGGAATGGAAATCTGTCAGAAAATCATTATCTCCAATTCAAATTGCCCATTTTAAAAAATACCTGAATTACTTTCGAGTAAACTCGTTGTCTTTTTTTGTAACTTCAACGCCCCAGCATAGTCTTGAATTTCGAATGTTGGTGTCACCCATTTATCAAATGTCATAGAGGAAAAAAGAACACGAGGCAATTTTGTTTGAGTCTGTATGCATTAGATTAGAAAATCGCCATGCTTTATTTTTCACTAAAATTCTGTT